TTTCACTCAAAAGTTGACAGGTGCGGGAACTATTCGATAGCGAGTGATAATAGACGTGCAGGGTCTATTCGAGGAAATACTGTATGTATCTTATAATGAGATTCATAGCCAATATAGTCACAATGAACACTCCAGGGCTATATATCTTATATAGCACTGCTATCATTTCACTGGTTCATTCACTATAACTGACATTAAATGCCAAAAGTTACACATAAAGATAAATGGTCAAGGTGTAAATAAAATTAGTGATAAGTGGTTGATAAACTGTTAAACTAACAAGTTACTGAAAATGGCAGTTAAATTTGCAGTGAGAAGCTTCCTTAATCAGAGCTTTCTTCTCATTCCTTTGGTGACTCACATTATTATGCCTTTTGTTTGTCTTCATTGGTGACATCAGACAAAACCTTCTTTTTCGGAACATCTGAAAGTAGTGCATCATTACTTACACTAGATAACACCTTGGAAACGCACAACTTCTGTACATTTGTAGATTTTTCATAGGACTGAACCCCTCCCAAACTAGTATGACCACTCCACTCCATAATTTGCTTCTCAGGCACACTGTTATGGTACATACGACTGATGCCAGTAGCACATAGACTATGGTTTTCAATATTTGTTGTATCAAGACCAGCTGATTTAAACATTTGTTTCAGTAACCCTCCTAGCATATTAAGGTCAATGGGTGAATTACAGTACCACACTTTGTCATCCAAGTTATATTTGTGTTTTGCTTTGCTATAAAAGAGATCTTTTACTTGTGCAAATTGTGGTAGCTAAGATAGGTAAAGTTCAAAGAGATGTACAAAATATTTTTCACCAATGATTCATCTGCATAGTGTGTGATGATCTTATTGTCGAAATTAACTCAATGAGACCTTGACAGTTCTTAGACCGATATACTTGGTAAACAATGCACTTTATTGCTGAAGACAAATCCACAGGATTAGAAACTTCCTTGATGTTTATCTGGCTAAATTATAAATCCCTGTGCTCCACACCGCCATGAAAATAACAAATAGGCCACAAAAAATTGTTTAAAGCAAATAGGAAGGTGAATCAAAGCCTAAAACTTTCCTTTGCCAAAGCAAATCTTCTTGAGCTACACTAATAACCCTGGCCTGTTGTTTTTCAGCCAGTAATTACTTAGAAACTTTATTAAGGACATTGTGTGGACCTCTGAAGGTGCATCTCTATAATTTATGAAGTGACAGGCCTTTTCAGTTCTTTCAAAAGCCAGAGATTGCAAATTGGTTAAAAGCTGTAGAGGTGTTTTGGGTGTTGTGCTTCCAACACAAATTTGCAAAGTGTGTCGCAAGCCTTTGTCTTGTCTTCTCCCAACTAATCTTCCTTGTTGCAATCTTCCACTACAGAGACACAATTTTGATAGACTCTAAAAGCCCATTGATGACATCTTTCACTGTTAGCACTCTTTGGTTTCTTTCCACTAGATGACAATTCTTCTTGGTAGCTTTTTTGAAGTAACCCTTAAGGAAAGGGATAATCTCTTTATTTTGCTAGGATTTGGATCAGCTAGGTCGTTTTCCATGATCCAAGGAGATCCTTTCTTTTTGTCACAGTCCACAATTCTTTCTCTACCATATGACATGTGCTACTGCACATCCTCAAATATTCTGGGCTTCACTTTAAAATGGCTGCAAGAATCAATCAAATATATGGTATGTGACATGTTTCATCAGGCTATATGCAATATATATGACCTGGAAGTTGGACGTTTTAAAGAAATATTACCCTCAGGCCTTTGGCCCTTGGGTGATATTTTTAAAGCGCCCTCCTTGCAGGTCATATATGTTGCATATAGCCTTCTAAAACATGTTATATATAACACACATATATGTGTATTATATATCATACTAAACAGGTCTATATGTAATATATATAGTATGGTAGACAGGTCTGTATCCGTTTTAGCAGACCCGAGGCCAAGGTTTAGGGTGTCACTGGTTGGATAGCAGCCCGAGGCGAAGCAGTCCAAAGCTATCCAACCAGTAACACCCGAAACCGAGGCAAAGCGTCTGCTAAAACGGATACAAACCTGTCTACCATACTATGTAAAATATATCGTATCTATATGATGCCATTTTAAACAATTAACTAGTTAATAACCATACTGAGCATGCGCATACCCGTGTTAAGCACATTTCATGCAATGGCTGACAAGGAAGGGGCGAAGCAGTGAAGCTGTCGACATCGTTTTCTCCTCGTCCTCTTTACTGGTCTGCTTTACTACGGACAGGGAAGGAGGACGCTGGTGGAGAGACAAAGAATTAGGCAACTGAGGAGAGTTGAGAAGACCGTTAGGTTGGAAACTGAAGAGAGTGAGCGAAGAAGAGTGGAAGGACATTAATCTAGAAGGGATGCTTTCCAAGCGACTTCCCATAGCCCACTCAGTGCTTTGAGTAGTGTTTTCGGGAACAAAGCCCTTTCTAGCTTCAATTATGGCACTTTTCTCAACTTTCCTGAGGCGAACGTTCATCGTCTGCCTTTAAAAATTAGGAAACCTTCTTATCTCAGTTCTCAGAGCATGACAACTGTGGACCTAAAATTACTTCTCTTGATCAGTTCTGTTTTATTTTATTGAATTAAATTTTATTTTTAAGATTGTGTACTTAGTGACAGGTCTGATATCTGCAGATATTAGAGCTGTGGTTAGAAGAGGTCAGGATATCCTAGATATCAGACCTGTGGTTAGAAGAGGTCAGGATATCCTAGGTATAAACCGCGCGGCTCCTTTGAGTGACGTCATATATATGATATACAAAAATAGACCTGAGGTAGGTGTCCCAGGATGTGATATAGCCCGATGGCTATATCACATCCAAGGACACCCACCAAAAGTCTATATCTTTTGTATATAGACCAGTTCTAGTATGTTATATAGGATATATTTTATAATGATGACAGCATTTCTGAATGGCAGGTATATATACAAAAATATAAACCCGACCACATCTAAGGATGATGTCATAATTATAGAAAAATGTGCAAAGATGTGGGCATCTTTCACATTGCCTGGCCAACATCGCAAAAAAGTAACAATAGTCCATAATGGCTTTTATAACTACTGAAAAGAAACCTTTGCAATTGCAATACTGTAGGACTCCAACTTTTTGCCAGTCAAATTTTTATGGGTCAGAATTTTTGTCATGTTTGCTAGGTATTTTTGCTTGACAAAATTTTTTAGCCATAAATTTTTGTTCTGCACAGGTAGTTTGTGGATTAATAACAAAATGATGAAAATTTTATAGACAAAAAGTAATTTTAAGAAGCCATTACAATTTTCATGAAATTTGTCACTGTTAAAAATTTGGAGCTATACGGTAGTCTGTGTGATTATTTGCTTGAGTGGAAATAGGAATTTTGGTGCCATCTATTGCTCCTGCATGCACATTGTGTTAGCCCCATTTAAATCCTCCACAATGTCATTTATTTCACCCTCTTTGATGAACATCTTAATAGCTATGGCAGCACAAGTTTCGTAACCAACTATACAAACTACATCAAGCTACATTAAACAAATGACTGATGGTAAGAACTCACCAGGAGTTGCTAAGACTCAGAGTATAAGTATATTAGCAACTTTTTCACAAACAACAACTCTCTCATCTTTGTCTTTTTCTTCTCAATAACTGGTGTCAAGGCATCACATAGATTATCAAAAGCATTCCTACTTAATTGTCCGGTCATCTTGTAGGAAAGTATACTTGACAATAGAACTCTACCACTGACCTGATCTCAATGAAATTATTTTGCTGAAACAATATTCATAAGCATTTACCTATTTACTGTCAATATTTTCATGTTTTAAAATATTTGACATTGGCAACAGAAGGGTTAAAACAATAGAGAGTACAGCTCTATATATTTAACACCTTCTGGCCAAATGCATCTGCTTTTGCAGTTTTTAAATTGCAAATTTGGGAAATAATTGTCAGAATGGCTAAGGCCACGAAGTGGCTGCTAGCTATTCTAGATTATATGAAGAAGGTGAAGTCGATCATATCAACAGTGTTTGTCCAGTTTTCTTAACTTACAGCTAATTTGTAGTTATATAACTAACTTTAATAACTTTTGGTCTGCCCATCCTCCCACATGCCTCACTGCTTCAGCCATCTTCCTTGGTCTTTGATTAGCTCCTCCTTCCATTTGGAGGGTGGGTGTGGATAGTTGATATGATTGACTTCACCTTCTTCATGTAATCTAGAATAGCATGCAGCCACTTCGCGGCCATAGCCATTCTGACAATTATATTTCAGAAGGCTCAGTCTTGTATCAACTGTGTTGTTTGTAGCTTCTTCCAAGCTATTCTGGTCATTAATGACAGCTATTACATAGGCCGCTTGATCCACTTCTTTGTAATAAAATCTTTGGAAGACTGACTCTGACCTTCAATTTGCTGAGATTAGGGTTTCTATTAGAGTAACTCTGCCTCTGTTTGCAGCTAAGGCTGACACCCCTGTAGAATGGGCTCTGAATATAGAGGAGTTGATCCCTGCCTCTTCAAGAGTAGTTTTTAGCCATCTTGCGATGGAACTAGATGTAAGTCGTTTTATAAAGGAAATGAACATTCTGTTTTCATTTCCCCTCACTTGCTTGGTTATGTCCAGGTATGTATCAAGGGTGTTAACTGGACAGAGTGTTGCTAAAAAATTAGCGACCTTGCTTACAGGTTCTGAAAAAGGATTAAAACCCCGTTTAATACACCAGTGATTTCATTGCCCTACTATTGTCATTACTAGTAGACCGGCCATGCATACTACCCAAGCAGGACGTGACAATAGAGTCAGTTCCAATTATTCTCTAAATACCCATGTGGAGCATCTCAAGGAAAAACTCAATGAACAAATTCCTTCATGCCAAGCTACAGACCTCATCCTCAATTCATATGGGCCAAAAACAAACAAGTCTTATGACTCATTACTCGAGGATACCATGGCTGACATTTCCATACTGGGGCTACCAGAATTACTTCTGACCCTTGAGTTTGTGCTTTCGTTAGCACCCTCTGTACCAGATTCCAAGGTGGGTTGGCAAAGCCTTTCACTGTTGTCCAATCCTGGATAAAGGCCTCTGTTGCTTCTGCAAGTGGATCTGCATGCTGCCAGCTGAAATAGCGACGGCACTGATTGGTCAACCTGGATGTAAACAGGCCCAATTCTGTTGGACCATAGATCTTGTCGATCTTCAGGAAGACGGAACGATCCAGTCTCCAATCTGATCGATCATTCATGGATCTTGATTCCATGTCTGCCACCGGGTTCATTACTCCAGGTAGGTGTTGTGCTTAAATATGGATATTCCTCTCCAGGCACCACATCCACAGATCTCTGGTTAGGACTATTGATTCTTTGGATACAGTCCCCTCCTTGGTTGTTGATGTAGGCAACTGCTATTGTGTTGTCTATCTTCAGTAGTACTGATGCTCCATTTGTGTTCTTCACGAAGGTTTCTAGTGCTACAGTCGCTGCTAGCAGTTCTAGGCAATTGATGTGCCAAGTCTATTCCAGAGGAGACCAAGTTCCCCTTTGCTGGTTCGGATGCTTCCCATCCCTGTTATGTGCCATCTGACTCTATGATCAGATCTGGCTTTGTTGCCAACACTGTCTGGCCATTCCATTTTATCATTTGGGTGTCCCACCTAATCTGATTTTTAGATGGTGTGGCTATGGACTGTCCCATATGGCCCCGACTCTAGTTTAGCTAATTCATTTCTGATAATGAATGGGCTCTGCCCAGACTTATTTTCATCATAATATTATTGATAAGCTTAATATCAATTTTTTATTATTCTATCATCATGTCTATTTAATTTTTAACATTCACTATTTATCATTAAGGAGCTGGAGGGTCAGATTCTTATTAGTGGTATGCCCAAAACAATTCTATGTGGTTTTCTTGGTTTAGACACCGTTTACAGTGTGTAGTATCAGACCCAATGCCTGATTCCTAACTGTATCCCCAACTCTCATCCGAGAGCTGATATTGGCTTAAGGTCTTGGTAAAGACCCATGGGGCTAAGGCCAGGCCAAATGGGAGACAGTTAAGCTCAGTGGCAAAAGCCACTTGTCCCTGAATTGTGTCCCTGATTTGGGTACACAGTGGATAACCTCTGTATACCCTATACCTATAATGGGACAGAAATAGACATCCTTTAGATGTATCTTTACAAGCCAATCCCTTTTGGTAAGAAACTTATGGCTAGGATGGGCAGTGAACCACCCACACTTCTGATTAGCTCTGTCATCACCCCTCCTGAGAGTTTTTGGGAAGGTTTTGAGGCTAAGTGGGGTTCAAATTCTGTACCCTTGTACTATAACTTTTTTGGGCCCACCAGTCCAATGTTGCTATAGTTACTTTGCCACAGCTTGGCCTGTTCAAAAAATATTTATCCAGGTTGTCCACAACTTACTGAAAAAGTGAAGGAGATTGTTATCTAGTTTGGGAAACCTGATTTTAAAGGATCAAGTGGATGGCTTGATAAATGGAAGAAATGTTTTAATATAAAGGAGATCAAAGTTAGTGGAGAGTCAGGTGATGTTAAAGGTATGACTGTAGAATTATACAAGCCTATATAGAAAAAACAAGGTTGTGGCAACCTTGTAACAAGTACCAGGTGATCACAAGGTGGTCACTACCTGGCCACAAGGCCCACCACCTTGTAAAAACCCTGGAATTGATACGTTTTTCACCTTGTGACAACCATGTAGCAACCTTCTGACAACCTTGTCACAATGTACAATAAATTCAATAGAATAAATATAATTTGAAAGCCTATCAACACACAATTAATATTGTCATCTTAATCCAATATAATGTCAAATAATTTCTAGATACTTGTAATGTATCTATGATACATGTAGCTAATGTATAAAGTTGTGGATGTGTATTAATGCTATCATTATTGACTTGTACAAGGGCTGGTCACTGGTCTCCTTATATATGGTAGCAATAGCTTCATATTGTCATGGGGCACACTTTATGAAACCTCATTTCCTGCTAACCTTCGGACAACCTTGTCACAAGGTTTCTATGTTTGTAACACGTTAGTCACAACTTCAGCACTTTTATACAAGGTTGTGACTAGGTTGCTCACAACTTTATCACTTTTGTACAAGGTTGTTGCCAGGTTGCTACAACCTTGCGAGGTTGTGAACCAGTTGTAACAAGCTTGTAGCAAGCTTGCAATTTCATATGGGAGGCTGTGAAAAAGATGGCATCTAAAATATTGACGAAACAGGATTGTTTTGGCGGGCATTGCCTGAAAAAGGCTTTGGTCAAAAATATGAGCAATTGAAAGAAGAAAAAAGAAATGATACAACGAATGACAATTGCTTTTTTTGTGACTGCAACTGAAAAGAAGGAAAAACCAATTGTGTTATGGAAATTTGCTAACCCTTGATGCTTTCGCCAAGTAGATAAATCACTACTTCCTGTTACTTACTTTAACCAAGCAAAAGCTTGGAGGATAGGAAATATATTAGACTCTATTCTTACAAAGCTAAACTGGGAAGTGGTCAGCAAGTAACGTAACATTTTGTTATTTATGGACAATGCAGGTTGTCATCCAGAGTCACTACAATATAAATACTCCAACATCAAGATTTCTTTTTTGCCCCAAATACTACTTCTACATTGCAACCGTGAGACTTGGGGATAATAGAGAACTTAAAAATTCATTATTGAAAATCATTTCTTCGATACGTTATCTCCAAAATAGACGAACCAGAAAAGGCTTCTGATGTTGTTAAATCAGTAGATTTATTGAAAGCAATTAGATGGTTAAGACAAGCTTGGTCATTAGTTACTGCAAGTACAATTGAAAAGTGTTTTCACAAAGCAGGCATTGTTACTGCAGACCTTGATGTAGTATGTCGCGTGACAGTTGATCCTTTTTTGGAAGCTGATGAACTTGCCGAACTGGGTCATCTGATTGAGAAGACAGGAAGTGATGTTTGTGCCTCTAATGAGTTTGCTAATGGTGACGAGGATCTTCCTGTATGTGCTGAAATGGACAATATAGGTTGTATTCTTTGACAAATTAACTAACAATAGTGAACAGCAAAATGAGGAACAGAGTGATCACGAGATTGAGGATGATGTTCATCAAGACTTTACTGTTCCATGCATATCATCATTCAAAGAAGCCATCTAAGTTCTAGAAGACTTTTCACACTTTTTACAAAAGAACTTATAACAGATGCAATTAACCAAGTAGGATCTGCAATTGATTCCATGTGTAAATGTCGAAGCCATGCTGCAATTCAAACCACTATCGACACATATTTTTAAAAGTGACACTTATTATAATATAACTCAGTTGTGTTTTGTGTTACTATATAACTAAGAGAAGAGATACTCAATTGTTTAAAAACATTCATATTTTAGTCAATTAAAACTTTAAATATGGATATAAATATAAATCGCTTGTAACCTCCCACCAGAGGACAACCTCTGTAGAAAGGACCAAGCTCTTGTTCCAGTGTCCTGTATTTGGAGGTTCCACTGTATGTCACAAAATGATGTATAACAATTATCTGCATTAAAGGTGGGCATCCACTAGGCAGCATTGTTTCTTGCAACTTGTGGTCAAACCTTTGATGTGGTTGGGCAACATGTTGATTGAAGGAGAGAAAGTCTCAACTTAATGCAGCATGTTGCACAACCACATCAAAGGTACTGGCAACACTGTGGATGCCCACCTCAAAGCTTGGTTTCTTTGTTGTCTTAGTTTAAAGCAGTCTTGATGTTACTGATGAGCAGTACAATAGCTACTGGAGGTGCCTAGTCTTCACAAAGACCATGATCATAATATCTTGCTCTGTTAGCTTTTTAAGGAAGAATTATCAGTGTAGGCACATGACCACATGTGCTTATGTAAACTATGACATCATGAAATTTCACTGTGGTTAGCTTTGGTATGTTAATAATGCCATTGGTTAAATAGTGAGAACTTGGTTTTTTAAAGTGAAGGGCTGAGAGACCCAAGATTTTGCAAATTTTGATGAACTTTAGGGACTAAGAGTCTGTGAAAGTTTTATCCTTATTTCACATTCCTATAAAAAGTTATTCTAGTTTTTCTTGTGCCAAACTTAACTGGGATATAGTATCAGTTTTAGAACAATGCAACACATGTACTGTATATAATTTCACACTAGAATATTCTCAAAAGACAACAAATCACTGCACAAGAAAAATCAACATAAATGAACAACTTTGTCAATTGATCAAAGGCCCCTCAAAATAGTCCATTAGTGCTACTCTTGTGTTTCCTTCTTTTATATTTGGATTGTGAATCTCCACTTCTGAAAAAAACAAGCTCCACCTTGTTAGCCAAAATTTCTTCGACATAATTTAATCTAGCCAAAAATTCGTATACTTTGCAACAAAGTTTATATTGGGAATCTTTTTTATTGTTTCATTACTTCCGCTACAGTTAGTTTCTGTTTCATTTCTCGCAGTCATTGTATCTACAGCATGTTTGGCACTCAAACTTGTATTCATTTTGAACAGGCCATGTGACACCATGAGACTTCATTAGTCTAATTGATACGCCCAAAATGATGCACAGAGCCACATTCTCTGTAGCAGCATCACCAGACACTTCCCTTAATGCAGAGGGGCATGACCAGACTAGTGACTACCATGATAATGTAAAAGTTGTATGTAGTTGGTCACCCTATTATTACATTGTGGATTCTTAAGTTTTAACCGGAGACTTACTTATGTTTGGAATTGAAATGGGAGTAACTGAGTTTATGATTTCCTTTGCTGTTTATAACCTACTTACAGTTTGTTCATATCACTTATGTACAAAGCAATATCATCTACGCACCTAAATTGCATCACTATTTATATCTGCCTATTTTGTTGCTGTGACCTGTAGTCTCAATTGTTTTTCTCTTTGCAGTGACAAATTCATCCATTAGTCTACAATTTTTATTGGTAAATCTCTACATTATTGTCTGCTACTAGTAGCAAGACATTCATTTTCAAAAATTAAGAAATATAGCAAGCAGATGCATTGTGAAATGGGACTGACTATAATAATACCTTTGGTAACAGCGACTGGTTAGGTTTGTACTGCCTGTAACACAAGTCAGGATTGTATTTGTTTATAGCAATAAAAACTATAAAACTATTAAAAAGTTAAGTAACTAAAAGGAGCTACTGCTATTTATATAAGATGCTTGATCCTAGTGCTACAATGTGTCACAAAATTAAAATAGTAGGAGGTAACTAGTGATC